TATATTAACAGCCCCCCGCAAACTCAAGGAGGACAAACATCAACCAACTGGAGTTTGGAGACAAATTCAATGAAGCAGCCAGGAGAATGAGCTTTGGTGAAGATATCAGCAGGTTGATCAGCAGAGGAGATTAGATGGAGATGGACAGTACCACGAGCGACATGTTGACGAATAAAATGACAGTCAATCTCAATGTGCTTGGTGCGATCATGAAAAACATCATTGTGAGCTATTTGAAGAGCAATTTGATTGTCACAAAAGAGGGCAGTAGCGCCAAAGGGAGAAACACCCATGTCAACAGGAAGCCAACGAAGCTAGAGAAGCTCCTGAGTAGTATCAGCAAGAGCACGATATTCAGCCTCGGTACTGGAGCGAGCAGTTAGAGATTGTTTCTTGCTGCGCCAAGAAATAAGAGAATCACCCAAGAAAAAACAGAACCCGGTAGTAGAGCGCCGGTCAGTAGGATCCCCAGCCCAATCAGCATCGGAAAAAGCACGAAGCTGGAGAGAGGAGCGGACGGAATAATGAAGTCCATGAAATAAGGTACCTTTGAGATAACGAAGGATACGGACTAATGCAGCATAGTGAGGGGTACGAGGAGCTGACATAAACTGGCTGACAATATGAACGGCATAGGCAATATCAGGACGAGTAACAGTGAGATAGACAAGGCTGCCAACCAGCTGACGATATAAGGTAGCGTCAGAGAGAAGGGTGCCATCAAGAGGTGTAAGACGACTTTGAGGCTCCAGTGGAGTGGAGGCAGTCTTGCAATCCGTAAGACCGGCACGGGTGAGAAGATCAGAGGTATACTTAGCCTGAGAGAGAAAAGACCCCGTGGAATCATGGAAGATTTCAAGACCCAAGAAATAGCTGAGAGAACCAAGATCTTTCATCTCGAAATGATGGCTAAGAAACTATTTAAGGCATAGAATACCATCAAGATCATCACCGGTGATAATCATATCATCCACATAAAGAAGAAGCAAGGTGGTCCCTTGAGCAGTGTTCCAGATAAAAAGAGCAGTATCATAAGAACTGGAGGTGAAACCACAGTTATGAATAGTAGAGCTGAACTTGGCAAACCAAGCACGCGGAGCTTGTTTGAGACCATATAAAGCACGCTGAAGTTTGCAGACTTTATGAGGTGGATAAGTAGACCCAGGGGGAGGTTGCATGTAGACCTCCTCAAGAAGAACACCATTAAGGAAAGCATTTTTCACGTCCATTTGATAAAGATCCCAGTGTCGAGTGGTAGCAACCGCAATCAGGCTGCGAACAGAGGTGAGACGAGCAACAGGAGCAAACGTCTCTTCATAGTCAATACCATACTCTTGGTTGAAGCCTTTTGCAACAAGGCGGGCTTTGTAGCGCTCAATAGAACCATCAGAGTAAGTCTTGATTTGTAAACCCATTTGCATCCAATCGTAGTCTTGCTAGGAGGAAGATCAACAATGTCCCAAGTGTGAGTTTTGTCTAAAGCCTGCAATTCATCAGTCATAGCTTGCTGCCAAAGAGGATTAGAGCGAGCCTCACGATAGGAGGTCGGTTCATAAGTAGAAAAAGCAGTAGAACCAACAATAAAGTCACGAAGACGAGTAGAAGGTTGGGTTACCCGGTGTGGTTGAGTAGAGGCAGGAGGAGCCAGAGGGAGAGACTCACCAGGAGGGGAGGATCCCGAGGGAGCAAGGGCATGAGACAGACCAGTAGGCAAGGCAAGCTCGAGAGAGGCTGGTAGGGGCGGTGGAGTAAGCTCATCGGAGAACTCGAGAGAGGCTGGCAAGGGCGGTGGGGTAAGTGCATCAGAGGTAGGTAAGGCAGGCTCGAGAGAGGCTGGTGGAGGTAGCTCATTAGAGAACAGATCCATGGAAGGGTCAGTAAAAAACAGAGAGGATGAGGGAACGGACAAACGGAAGAGAGAGAGAGAGGAAAACATTTTGTGTTCCCAAAAGACTACATGACGAGAGATACGAAGTCGCTGGGAGAGAGGATCCCAACAACGATACCCCTTGTGTTCAATACCATACCCTAAGAAGCAACAAAGGCGAGAACGTGGTTCAAGTTTGGTACGTTCATGAGGTTGGAGAAGAACAAAACAGGCAGATCCAAAGACCCTAAGGTTGGTGTAAGGGGGACGAGTGCCATGTAGACGCTCATATGGAGTGTGATTATGAATGACAGGTGTAGGGATACAATTGATAGTGTAAGCAGCAGTGAGAGCTGCCTCTCCCCAAAAATGTTCCGGACAAGAGGAAGACAGAAGGAGAGCTCGAGTAGTGTCAAGGATATGTCGATGTTTCCGTTCAGCACGTCCATTTTGTTGAGACGTATCGGGACAGGAACGATGAGGTTGAGTACCATGACGTTGAAGAAAGGAAAGAAAGTCAAAATCTTTATATTCCATGGCATTGTCGGAGCGAAAAATCTTAATATTTTTTTGAAAATTGCGTTTTAACCATGGCAGCAAAATTGTAATAAAGTTGTTTGAGCTCAGAGCGATTTTTCATAAGAAATAACCATGTAAAATGGGAAAAATAATCTATAAAAACAACAAAATAGCGTGCGCCTCCCATAGTAGGAGTAGGAGAGGGTCCCCAAATATCAGAATGAATGAGATCAAATGGTGCAAGAGAAACAGAGGCACTTTTATTACATGACAAGGCAGGTTGTTTGACAAGTTGACAGGACACACAATCTAAAACATCAGAACTTACATGACCTAAATGACCACTAGAAATTAAAGATTTTAAACGACCAATAGAAAGATGGCCTAAACGACAATGCCAAAGCTGAAAAGGAGATAAAAGAGGAGCAGTGGTAGCAGTGGTAGGAGCAGCAGTGGTAGGAGCTAGAGCTGTGATCTGAGAGGAATCGGGAACATGAAGATGGATGAGTTCGTAGAGACGTCCATGCTTACGGTCTATCCCAAGAGTTTGCCCCGTCCGAGGGTCCTGCACTAAACAACCAGTATGGGAAAAGGTAACAGTTAGACCATGCTCACATAATTGACTAATGGAGATAAGATTTAAAGTAAGAGCAGGCATAAGATAGACATGGGATAAAGATAAGTGAGAGGTTGAAACAGAACCAACATGACTTACAGACAGAAGAGACCCATCAGCAGTATGGATAGAAGGAACATGAAGAGTAGAAGAGAGAAGAGTAAAAATACTAGGGTCAAAGGTCATGTGATTACAACAAGCGGAGTCAAAGTACCAAGAAGAGTTACCTGCAGTGACAGATAAAGCAGTAGATGGAGGAGTACCGGAATTCTGCCAAAAATGTTGAAACATGGCTTCGACATCAGTTTGAGAGAAGACTGGAGTGGAAGGGTTTATAGGAGCAGAGGAAGGTAAATCCTCTGAGGTAGCAGCAGCAGTGCGTTGAGCAGGCATTGGTTTAAACGGAGTCCCAGAACAGTGAGAGTGGCTGCGAGAAAAATTCCCGGTGGAAGGACCATTGCGAGAGGCACAGGCGGGATTGCGGAAGCAATCTTGCTGGAGATGACCAGGGCCAATCTTGTTGCAAAACCGACAAAGACGAACTGGACAATTAACTAGAAGATGAGTTGACGGAAGATTGCGGTTGTGACAGTAATTGCAGGCATTGGACTTCTGTGGTGAAGTTGGGGAAGGAGAACTTCGAATCTGAGGAGTGGCAAGAACAGAGTCCACAAGGTGCGGACGGAGAGTACCAAATCTGGTTTCCTCTGACAGGAGTTCAGAAATTGCTTGCTCAAGAGTGGGTAAAGGAGTGCGATGAATGAGAGATGCGTGGACTGGCTCAAATCGGGGAGTGAGAGCCATGAGAAACTGAACCAAGCGCTGTTGGTCACGGTAAGTAGTAAACAAGGCAGCATCGTTAGTACAATCCCATGGAGGTTCAGAAAGAGCGAGCTGATCCCAAACATAATACATTTGGGAGAGGAAATCATTAATGTTCTGAGTTGTTTCTTGGCGCATACGGTGAAGATGACTCAGAAGCTGATATTGGTGAGCAAGGCCAGTAGTCTGATAGCGTTCTTGTAAAAAATCCCAGATGGCTTTGGCAGGAGAGGAAGCAGAGTCAAGTTGGAACCGACCAAACTGAAGGCTGATAGATGTAATGGAAGTATTGCGAAACCAAGTGATGATCTGATAGTTTTTACTATCCCAATCTTCCAATCGGTCGACATATTTGGTGGCGGAGTCCGTGGCAGCGGAATCCGTGGTCTCTTGAACGGGTTTGCACACATCCCCAGTGATGATGCGCCAAAGTTTCTTTCCTTTGAGGAAGCCAGACATAGCTTGTGCCCATAGGACATAATTAGTCCCGTCAAGAATAATGGAAATAGGGTGGTTAGAGGAGTCCAGGCGATCCATGAGAGAAAAAAAGCACAATTGAGGTAGAATCTGAAAAAACTGAGGTTACCAGTGAATTCAGAAGGTCAAAATTAGTCAGAAAATGAGTGAACGGATCAAAAATATGACCAGAAAGGCAGAAAGTGGAATAGTCAACGTCTGGTCAAACAGGCGCGGCGCAGGTTAGCATAGAGTGGCGCGGCGCACGTTAGCAGGCGAGAGACACGCGGCGCACGGAAGCAGCCACGGCTGACGTCGGCTGACGTCAGAAACACGCGGCTCACGTTAGCAGATGAGGCGGTGGCGCACAATAGCACCAGGTAGTGTAGGAGGCGTGTAGAGCGCGTCTGAAACGAGGCAGCGCGTGGCAGAATGATCTGGCGGTGCGTGGAGGCGCATGAGACCTCAGATGAGGATGAATCTGGTGGCTCTGGCTTCGTTGTGAAGAGACGAAGGTGCTTGTAAAGGAAGCCAGACATAGCTTGTGCCCATAGGACATAATTAGTCCCGTCAAGAATAGCGGAAATAGGGTGGGTAGTGGAGTCTAGGCGATCCATGAGAGAAAAATAGCACAAATGAGGTAGAATCTGAAAAAACTGAGGTTACCAGTGAATTCAGAAGGTCAAAATTAGTCAGAAAATGAGTGAACGGACCAAAAATATGACCAGAAAGGCAGAAAGTGGAATAGTCAACGTCTGGTCAAACAGGCGCGGCGCAGGTTAGCATAGAGTGGCGCGGCGCACGTTAGCAGGCGAGAGACACGTGGCGCACGGAAGCAGCCAGGGCTGACGTCGGCTGACGTCAGAAACACGCGGCTCACGTTAGCAGATGAGGCGGTGGCGCACAATAGCACCAGGTAGTGTAGGAGGCGTGTAAAGCGCGTCTGAAACGAGGCAGCGCGTGGCAGAATGATCTGGCGGTGCGTAGAGGCGCGTGAGACCTCAGATGATGATGAATCTGGTGGCTCTGGCTTCGTTGTGAAGAGACGAAGGTGCTGGTGTTGACCAATCTGTATATTAGGTAAGGACAAGGTATGCAGTAATCTGCCAAGAAAAGAAAATGTGATGCAGAGACTTAGGAGAAACACCTGTGCTCTGATACCATGAGAAACAAGTTGAGAGAGAGTGATATTGTAAGAGAACTATATGTTATTTACACTCTGTTCAGAAACCAAATAGAGGCTCCATTATATAGGAGCTGGATACAAAACATTATTATGATGTAATTTACTATAATAAGGAAAAGTAGCCGAAAGGAGGTGGACGGCCGAAAGCAGGGACAAGCCGAAAGCGTTTCTATAATATATTCCTATTATATACATACTATACTATAGTAATATATTCCTATACAGGGCATAGTATATTAATAATATATTCCTATACAAAGCATATTATATTAATAAGGATATATTAATATATTAACAGGTGCGAAGAACTGGAGGTTCACTGGCTTTTATGGGCACCTGGAGACATGTAAGAGGAAAGATTCATGGGAGTTACTTCGGAGGTTGAACTCACAATTGGCACTCCCATGGATTTGTGCGAGGGATTTTAATGAAATCTTGTTTGATTTCGAAGAAAGTGGGTTGCGTGGGCGGGACAGATATCAAATGGAGGCATTCCGAAAGGTGTTGGGTGATTGTAATCTGTCTAATATGGGCTATATTGGGAATTGTTTCACTTGGTGTAACAATAGACGAAATGCAGTGGTTAGAGAAAGTCTAGATCGCTGGTTGGCTAATGATGAGTGGCAAGGTTTGTTCTCTCTTGCCAGTTGCTTTCACTTGACATCAACAACCTCGGATCATGCGTCCATTTTGGTGGATTGTTTAGGATCAAAGAGGACACCTTCAGCGGTTACTCAGCGAAACGAAAGGATGTATCAGTTTGAAGCTCTATGGCTTCGAGACGAGCTATGCGAGCAAGTGGTAACAAACACCTGGGAACGGGTAGGGGGAGATGATCCAGTTCTTAGGCTGCAAACGGCCATATCTCAGGTTAGTCAAGCTTTACTTTTATAGAGCTCAAAAAATTCTGGTTTAATTCCAAAGCAGATAGCAAGGAAGATTATAGCATTGAAACGATTACAATTGAACCAGGTGCAATCCAACAGTTTGGGAATGGATGATTTCCGTTTATGCCAAGAAATTGAGGAATTGCTTTGTGATGTGGGAACAGCGGGCAAGGACTAACTGGCTTTTGGATGGAGATCAGAACACGAATTTTTTCCATGCAACAGCCTCCCAAAGACATCGGAAGAAACATATTGCTGGAATTGAGGATGGAAACGGGGGTTGGTTGACAGAACAAGGGGATGTTGAAAAGGTTGCTGTGGATTACTTCAAAGATTTGTTTAGTTCCGCACAACCTGTTGGCATTGAGGAAGTTTTGGAGGCTGTTCGGCCAAAGGTTACAGACGAGATGAATATGGGCTTAACTAGAGTTTTCTCGGAAGAAGAAGTGAAGTGTACCCTTTTCCAGATGCACCTTACAAAAGCATCGGGCTCATATGGTAAACCTACAATTTTTTCCCAAAAATTTTGGAGTGTAGTAGGGAAGGACGTGCGTAGGGCTGTCCTAGGCATTCTCAATGGAGATCAAGATGTGGCAACATTAAACGAAACCTTTGTTGTGCTTATACCCAAGGTAAAGGACCCAAAACATTTCTCCCAATTCTAGCCGATAAGTTTATGCAATGTGGTGTACAAGTTGGTTTCTAAAGTCCTAGCAAACCGTTTAAAAGTCGTACTTCCTAATATTATTTCCAAAAATCAAAGTTTTTTCATTCCGGGAAGGTTGATCACCGACAATGTGCTCACGACTTTTGAAATTTTTCATTGGCTAAAGATGAAAAGGAGTGGAAGGAATAGCAAGATGGCATTGAAGATTGATATGAGTAAGGCGTATGATAGAGTGGAGTGGGTATTGTTGGAGAATCTCATGTTGAAACTTGGGTTTGATCAGAAATTTACAGCATTGGTTTTAAGATGGTTTTCTTCGGTATCATTCTCGGTGCTCATCAATGGAATTCCATCACAGAAGTTTGGGGCAACTAGAGGGCTGCGCCAAGGCGATCCTATTAGCCCTCATCTTTCTATCATTTGTGCTGAGGCTTTCTCGGCTTTGCTGAGTAATGCGGAGGCACAAAATTTGATTAATGATATAGCTATTTGTAGGGCGGGGCCAAGATTATCCAATTTGTTTTTTGCCGATGATAGTTTACTATTTACGTGTGCAAATATGGAGAAGGTGCAGGTGTTGACTCATATTTTCTACGAACAGGCATCAGGGGAAAAAATTAATCTCGATAAGTCTACCATGTTTTTTAGCAAGAGTGTACACGAGGATAGGCGTCTGGCTATCAAAGCATGCTTGGATGTGGGGTCTATGGCACTGAATGGGTAATATTTGGAGATGTTTACCTTTGTCGAACAATCCAAAGTATAGATATTTGAGTTTGTCAAAAGCCAGATCTGGAAACAACTAAATGTTTGGAAAGAGAAATTTCTATCAGCGACAGGCCAGGAAGTTCTGATCAAATTCGTTGCACAAGCGATCCCCACGTATATATGTCATACTTTCTCTTACCGGACGACTTGTGCCGTGAAATTGATAGTATAATAAGGCAATTCTGGTGGGAACAGCGGGAGGCTGAACAGAAGATTCATTGGGTTAGGTGGTCAAAACTGTGCTTGCCAAAATACAAAGGTGGGTTGGGCTTCCGGAGTTTAATGGTGTTTAACAAAGCTATGTTTGCAATGCAAGGATGACGTCTCATTCAAAATCTAAATTCTTTGCTAGCTCGGATGCTTAAATCATGATACTTCCCAAACACTGATTTTCTTCAAGCATAGGTGGGTTATCAATCGTCGTTCATATGGCGAAGTATCTTGAATTCAAAGGATCTCCTGAACCAAGGGTTGAGGTGGAGGGTATGAAATGGGCAGAGTATTCGAATTTGGGGTGAGAAATGGATACCCTGACCTTCTACGTTCACTATGATATCTCCACATATGGGCTTTCCTATGGAGGCTACAGTGAGTGATCTTATTGAGAGCAAATGAGGTGGGTGGCTCAGGGATGTGGTTTTGGCTACTTTTTCCGAAATGGATGCTGAGGTGATTAACAACATTCCGTTATGTCCTCAATTGCCTCCAAACAAAGTGATATGGCACTACTCAAGGCAGGGGTGTTTCTCGATGAAATCTACATACGGGCTGGGGCTGTTATCAACTAATCGGGATATGAAAGTGAGCAGTTCAGTAGAGGATGAAGGCTTTGGTGTGTTTTGGAAGGCACTGTGGAAATTAAAAATTCTATCAAAAATTCGAGTTTTTACTTGGAAGGTTTGTTTGGATGTTCCGTCAGTCAAAACAAATTTAAGCAAGAGAAAAGTTCCAATCTCTAATGTATGCTCTCTGTGTTCAAGTGGGTTGGAAACAATGCGACATTGTTTGTTTGAGTGCGTTTGTGCGGAAGAAGTGTAGCAGAAAGCTGGCACTAGACACCTGTGGAAGAGTGGGCAAAATTGTGATTTTGTGGATTGGGTGTGGTGTGTGCTTAAGATGCATGGATCCGAGACAGTGGGTTTGGTGTTCTCTATATGCTGGGGGATTTGGTTAAATTGAAATCACTCCATTTTTGGAGAAAAACATTCTTTGGCTGCTGATGTTGCTACGAAGGCATTAGATATTTCCATGAGTTTAGCAGAGTTCAAAGGAGGGCGCTTCCGGCGCGGCCAAGTTTGGTGGCCTGTTGGAGACCGCCTGAGGCGAACTGTTATAAGATCAACTGTAATGGGGCAATGTTCAAGACTGAGTGTATGTCCGGTTTCGGTGTGGTTATCCGGGATGATCGAGGGCAGGTAATAGCCTCTCTGTGTGAACAGGCTCCACTAATATGGGATGTTGAATGTTTGAAGGCAGCTGCATTTCTTCATGGGGTGGTGTTTGCGTAGGAATTGGGGCTTATTACCATTCACCTAGAAGAGGATTGTGTGAATGTGATTAGAGCCGTCGGAGGGGCAGGGGCAGCATCTGAATTGTCTCCATACGGGCATTTTGTGTTTGAAATTCGGAATCTGTTGGGCGATTTCGCAGTTCATCATGTTAAAATTAATGTATTATTGATTGATATGTTGATGTTGTGTTGTGATTTACAAATGTTGAGGTGCTGTTTATATAGGAGATGTTGAGTGTAGTAGGTGAAGTGGAGGTGGTAGTGGTGTAGTGGGTTAGGTGAAGTGGAGGTGGTAGTGGTGTAGTGGGTTAGGTTTAGTGGAGGTGGTAGGTGGAGTGGGTTATGGTAAATTCTAACAGCCCCCCCGCAAACTCAAGGAGGATAGAAACTAACCAACTTGAGTTTGAAGAGAGGAACAAAACAAGAAAATACATAAAAATAAAAATAAAAAAAATAGGAGACACTGTATGGTCGTGTCAGACCGTTGGTGAAGACACTGAAAGGTGGTGCCATAACGTGGTAGAGGACACTGGATGGTGGTGTCATAACAGTGTAGAGGACACTGTATGGTGGTGTCATAACGTTGTAGAGGACACTGTATGGTGGTGTCATAACGGTGTAGAGGACACTGTATGGTGGTGTCATAACGGTGTAGAGGACACTGTATGGTGGTGTCATAACCTTGTAGAGGACACTGAATGCTAACCGGAATCAATGTCGGGACAGTTTATGGGGTCATGTCGGACCGTTGGAGATGCTAACCGGAATCAAATGTCGGGACAGTTTATAGGGTCATGTCGGACCGTTGAAAAGTGGCACCCTCAAAAGGTGTGCCCAATTTTTCAAAAGGCGTGCCATCAAAAGGCGTGCCCAATTCATCAAAAGACGTGCCGGATTCATCATGGCGAGGCACGTGAGTGCCTTGGTTGGCGCGCCCGTTTGTCGGCTGGTGGTAAGAGGCGCGCGATGCGCGTGGTTGCCTCGGCTATAAGACGGAGGCTGAGGCTGAAGCAAAAAAACCTGCGAGAGATATTCTGAGAGAGAGTTCTGAGAGAGATTCTGTAACACTCTGTTTTCTGAGAGAGATACTGTGTAACACTCTGTTGCCTAGAAAATGGCTGCATCGTCTTCCCGCGGGCTGCTCACCCTCTTTCCCGACCTCAACGAGTCAACGAGAGAGAGAACTGGTGCGGTGGCACTGGAAACTCAACCAAGCGCCCCGGAGTTTGCCCCGTTGAATTTTTCGATGCGGTCTGTGGAGCAAAAAATGGCAGTGCAGTCGGATGTGGAGGCCAACCAGTATACTTTGAAGACATGTATGGAAAGCATGACGGCGGTCACAAACTTGTCGAACCGGCTGCAGAGTAGGACAAATGAGGTGCAGCATTTAAACGCCCAACTGGCTCTGCTCCAACGCATGTATAAGGATGCGCGAGCAGAGATAAGTGTGCTGAAGGCAGAAAATAAGGAGCTGAAGCGGAAGGCCACCGTGATGTTCCGATTTGGAGGTCCGCCATATGCGGCAGTGGAGGAGTATGGGGGAGTGAACGTGCTCGGCGGCGTGGAAAACACGGAGGCAGCACCGTTAAGGACTGCCCAGGACGGAGGCAAAAAGAAGAGACCTACAGCAGAGTAGAGAAGAAAAATCCCACTGTGGGTGTGGTTGTGTTTTTGTTTTTTTTTTTTTTTTTTTTTTTTTTTTTTTTTTTTTTTTTGTAATAAGAAGAAGAAGATGATCCAAGGCATGGACAACATCATTAAATATTAAAAAAAGATGGAACAACGGTTTTGGTAAAACCCACGGTTTTGGGATTTTTTTTTTGGTTTAATTTTTTTTTTTTTTAATGTATTTATTTATTTATTTATTTATGAAATAAAAGATAAAAAAAGTGGGTGGTGGAAAATGTGATGATGGTGGAGAAAAGTTGTAAAGTGATGTAAAGAAAAAAATAAAGAAATAAAAAAAAGTAAAAAAAAAGGTAGTGCGTGCATGTATGTGTGGTGGAAAAGTGAGGCACTCATCTTATTAAAATAGAGAAAGTGGGAGTGTGTGGATTAAAAAAACTGTTTGTGGTGTGTTTGTTGGGTGTGTGATGCATGGGTTTTATATATTCAAAGAAAAAAGAGAGTGGGGTGATAAAGGAAAAACAGAACATGTGCTATGAAAAGTTCCTCATGTTTGTCGGATATAAGAAGTTCAGGTTCTGGGATTTTTCATGATAGCATAAGCAACTTAGGTAGACCTTATTCCACTGCCTGGTGATTTACCAAAAATGACAACTGAAGTGATCAATAAAGATGGAGGACTTGAATTATCAGCATCCGGGGGTGATGAAAGTGCTATCCTACGACCTGAAGATTTCCTTCTGGGGCAGCAGAAACAAGTATGGACTCTGTCTGTCTGTTGATGGAGGCGAGGTCAGAGTGCCGAGGAGGAATGCGATGGAGGCTATGCGGTCATGGCTTCTACTCGATGCCACCGGCGGAGCCAAAAACAGATCTGGAAAACGCGAGATGCATGCGATGAGGAGAGACGACCTCGTCGGCGGAGCCAACTCAGATGTGTAGAGGTCCGGCGGGCGGCCAAAGCGAGACTGCCGCCCGCCGGTGAAGCAGAATGGTTAAGTTGTTAACCTTGCTCTGATACCATGTTAAAATTAATGTATTATTGATTGATATGTTGATGTTGTGTTGTGATTTACAAATGTTGAGGTGCTGTTTATATAGGAGATGTTGAGTGTAGTAGGTGAAGTGGAGGTGGTAGTGGTGTAGTGGGTTAGGTGAAGTGGAGGTGGTAGTGATGTAGTGGGTTAGGTTTAGTGGAGGTGGTAGGTGGAGTGGGTTATGGTAAATTCTAACACATCATGTCTCACATGTCCGTCGAGAGGGGAATAGTGTAGCTCATTGTTTAGCTCGAATGACAATTCGTTTTGAAGAAATGAGGGTGTGGATGGAAGATATTCCGAACTCCCTCCAAGCTCTTGTTTGTTTGGAGTCTTTACGTTCGAGTTATTAATTCTGTTTTACCTTATCTAAAAGAAAACCCAGTTGTCAAGATTTTGGTACCATCCTAACAATTCTTATGCATGACTAATCTCATATGAGATTTGCTATAGAATGGATTTTACCATACCTTTTCTGAGTGCGCCTTCTCTTGCCACTTAGTGACACTTCTCCTCAATCCCTTTAGCTTCTATTCTTGACATTCTTACTCGAAAGTCTTTTATTAACGAGAAAAATAGATATTCATATTCAAAAAAAATATTTATTAAAATGATTTTTGAAATGTTAAACTCACTATACGTCTCAAAAGATTTAAGTTTGGTTTGGTCCAACCTTTTTTGGCTTGCAATTATTGATTTATTAACATCGTATTAAGACTTTTTTCAAAATTAATTTTTTTTTTTTCTAGGGTCATTACCGTAGGAAGCCCTAAAAAAAAACTTTGAACTTATGAAATTTAAAAAAAAAAAAAAAATCATAATAAGACAAAAATCAATTGATTCCCTGAATATAAAAGTTAAAAAAATGATTAATTTTGAAAAACAGAAAGGACCAAACCTTATTCTACAAAGAAATAAAGTACCTTATCTCAACATTTCAAGTTGTTTGGTGCATCTTGTAGGGGTTAAATTTTTTTCATTTAATTTTAATTGTTCGAGTGTTTCATTTAGTTTCTCTTTATAATTTATAACACATAAATAATTTAAAAAAATTAATTGCAGTATTTAAAAGATAATAAATGAGTAATTTGTAAAGTTGTCAAAGACTCCAAATAGAATGATTGTTCCCTATTCATTGAATCAAGGTTCATACTCTTCCGTCAAACACTCAAGTACAATGAAATATGTTTTGCAAAAAAACAAATAAAGCTTGTAAAGACCGTTAGCTTATTAATTAGATTTGAGATTAATTAAGTGCGGGGTACCAGAAAATTAGATAACACACTTCTAAGCCTTGTCCATTTTATGAAATTTAATTCCAATGATTAAGGGTGTTACCGAGAAAATCACAGAGGTGCAATCAAATAAAAACAATATAAAAAGGTAGACAAAAAACACCAGATTAGAGCATCTCCAACAGTGAATTTTTTTTTTCACCAAATCTGAGTAAAAAATTACTCATTTCACCAAATCTGATATCACTAGGTCCAACGGTGCATCAAATCTCGTGGGGCAATCGGTTGGTCGACCGGTGGGTTGACCGGTAAGTGTAAAAAAAAATTTTTTTAAACTCTTTTGAAATGTTTGAACCCACCTTTGTGAACTGGGGAAAAGGGCGACCGGTTGGTCGACCGGCCGGTCGAATGGTCAGCCAATTTTTTTTTTTTTTTTCTTTTTGTTTCCCTCCATTTCTATTCCCAATTCTTTTTCCTATTTCTATTTCCCTCCATTACATATATGTCTGGCATATAGATTATGTTCTCATATAAACCCATTATCCATATGTCAGACAACTCCACACAACTGATACGATCATAGCTTAAACAAAACAGAGCATAATGAATACCTTCAAATTCAAATTCATGATATTGACTTCATTTTCATCATCTTCTTCTTCCTCTTCCTCTGATGATGAGTCTGATGATGATGAATATATCATCACACTTTTAAGAGCTTATGAGCAGAATAATACTAGTATGCTTCAGATTCTTAAGTCAAGTGATAGCTCAAAGAAATAGGTGGTTCTGTTGTAGGTCATAGATATATACACAGAGATAGAAGGCAGGGTAATGACAGATTGTTTGCAGATTATTTTGCTGCAAATCTAATGTATTCACCTACAATATTTCAGAGACGTTTTCAAATGCGTCGTCCTTTGTATCTACGCATTTTGAATGTAATCCAAGTACACAATTCATATTTTGTTCAAAAACAAGATGCAACTTATGTACTTGGATTATCTCCCTTACAAAAAATGACTTCAGTGATGAAAATATTATCATATGGTGTCGCAGCAGATGCAGTTGATGATTATATTGTATTGGGCAAAGCACTGCAATTCAAAGTTTGCAACCATTTTGTAATTCAGTGATTGAAATTTTTGGAGAAGAATATCTGAGATCTCCGACGCCAACTAACATTGCTAGATTACTTGCTATTGGGGAGGTTCGGGGGTTTCCTGGCATGTTGGGAAGTTTAGATTGCATTCATTGGGAGTGGAAAACTTGTCCAAAGGCATGGTAAGGTCAATATATAGGCCATCAAAAAAAACCAACCATTATTCTTGAAGCAGTAGCATCTTATGACTTATGGATTTGGCATGCATTTTTTGGAATGCCTGGCTCACACAATAACTTGAATGTGTTGGACCGATCGCCTTTGTTTTCTGATCTTGGGCAAGGTAAAGCTCCCCCTGTCCATTACACAATTAATGGACATAGTTACGATATGGGTTATTACCTTGCTGATGGTATATACCCTCAATGGGCAACATTGATTTAAACAATTTCTTCTCCCCAAGGAGCAAAGAGACAACATTTTGCAATGATGCAAGAGTCTGCCAGGAAATATGTAGAGCGGGCATTCGGAGTCCTTCAATCTCGATTCGCAATTATAAGCGGTGCTGTACGTTATTGGGATTCGAAAATGCTTGCCAACATAATGAAGAGTTGCATCATATTACATAATATGATTGTCGAAGATGAGAGGGAGGAGCACCTTGATTTCAATTATGATATTTCATCAACCAACACACTAGCGCAACTTTTCTCTACTCTTACCAATGACTTCTAATCATTTTTGTCTCGTCATTTAGGTATTAGAGATAAGGATGCATATCATGCCCTCTGTAAGGATACATATCATGCATATCATGGCCTCTGTATTGCATGATACATCCGATTCGCTTCAGTGACCTACAAAAAAAAATTACAAAGATTTCAATAACAAGTATACATTTAAAAAATAAAATTGATATTTAATAACATAAATAAATTTTACCATATCTGCCTCAGTTGAATTTGTTCAAGAAAACCACAGAATTTATTAATTGTCTTTTGCATGGCAGACCAACGGTGAGTCAAAGAAATATGATTTTGATTTGATTCACTGCTCAATTATGAATTAAAATAAACAAGTACTCGTTCCCAAAATATAGTTATAGTCTGACTATTACTAGTAATGGGATCTTGAGAGACTGCTAACCAAGATCTACATAAAGTTTCATCTTCTATAATTGTGAATGCTTTACCACGAGAAACACGAGAAGTTTCTGAAATAAAATTATTATCACTGTTCTGCGTGTTCTGTTCTTGTGAAGATTCCGACATAAAATTAATGAGTGTTGTGCTCAAATATTTGTGATTCCTCAAACATTTCGAAATCTTCCATAGTTTAGAAAAAATACAATACACTTACTGAAAAATATTGTAATGATATAAAGCTCAAACTCAGAGTCAGATAATTTAATCAAATAATATTAATTAAAATTTCAAGGGAAACAAATATCTAATGACACAAGAAAAAAAATTCACAACATATAAATGCTATTCTGAAAATGAAATACTCTGTCAGCTTGATATAGAAATCAGATCTATTTTATAGAGCACATCATCAACGGTAAATTTTCAAAATACTCTGTCCATCCAACGGTAAATTATTGTAACGGCTAGTTGTGAAATATGTATGTCAAATATATAGAGAATTTAAATTTATATCACTCTTCAAATTATTCATAATCCACAAATTAACCTATGTCCAAATAAACTAGCTCAAACAAGTTGAAACCAACCAGTTGAAACCTGTTCTTGCTAGTTGTGCACTGTAGCCGAATTGCCTAACCCGTTCGACCAGGTGATTGACCGATTGCTCTTCAACAGTCATGCGAGGCAACAGTTCAAACCAACCAGTTCAAACCAACTAGCTGAGGATTCAAACGAACCAATAGCTTAAATGGTGCACTGGTCGACCGGTTGGTCAATAGGCCAGGCAACCGGCTGGTTGACCGGTTCCTCCCTCCAACGGTCACACACAGTGTTTTGGTAAAATCTGTATGTTGTCCTCAGTTTGATGAATTGTTTGTTGAAATCTCAATTTGATATCGATTTGGTACAACCGTTAAAACACCAAACAATAATTTTTTTATCAAAATTTAAATTTGATGTCAATTTTAATAAACCGTTAGAAATGACCTTAGACGGTAAAAAGAGACCAAAAAGGCGAAAGTAGACCCACACAACGCGTCACCATGTAACGGCCACGTCTACAATCTTATCCAGTTCCCCTTCTCTCTACCCCCACCTCCCTCCTTTTAAAACCCCAAATCTACTGACTCCGCCCATTGTTCCAACCCAGCTCGCTCTCTCTCTCTCAATCTGTAAAATTCTCTCTCTATATCTATATCCCTATACATACACACAAAGAAATGGCTGCCAGTCTCGTAGCTTTCCGGCCGATCGGAGTCCCCGCATGCGCCACCGGAGGTCACTGGAAACCTGACACACACCGCCGGAAAAGCGCGTCTTCCAACTGGTGGACCCCACTCTTCGGCTGGTCCTCCGAACCCGACTACATTGACTCCGCCGATCGCACCAACGCCGATCTCTCTGCGATGTCGGAGAGCAAGACGGCCTCCGATCTAGACCAGAAGTCGGTCAGATCTCGGTTCTCGCCGGGCTGCTTCACAGAAGAGAAGGCCAGGCAGCTCCGGCTGATGACCAAGGAAACGTCGTCGTTCCACGACGTCATGTACCACTCCGCTATCGCCTCACGCCTAGCTTCCGACTTCCCGAATTCGTCCGATCGGTGATTTGACTGCCGGCGATCCTCTCTCTCTCTCTCCCTTTTTTTGGTCTTCGGTTTGAATTTTTGTATGTTGTAATACGGTAAAAATCATGTATTTACATATGTATATACACCATCTTCTAAGTTGTTTGAGAATTGTTAAATTAATATTTTTTTTATTTAATTTTTTTTTTAAAAAAAAATGTCAGACATATGTTGAAATTGGAGTGGTGTATTGAGAATTGATGTGATGTAAATAAGAAATAATATAATTTAAAAATATATTAAAATAATATATATTATTTTAATCATATGCCAAATAATATCTTTAGTATTATGAATGTAATTATGTTAATTTAGTTATCAATGCTTATCATCAGTTCCTCTAATGGCCTAATTTTTTGTTTAATTAGTAATTATAATTATGATTATGATTAGTCATAAAGCAAAGATCTAGGGGCTACTAATCAAGTATGACCATCTTGATGCGACTCCATCTGGATCGTTTGGATGGTTAGGATGTATATCGACGGTTATGATTTAATTGTAAATCATTTGATTGTGACAGAGGAAGGTGGTCGTAAAGTGCTGATGTATGGCACAGTGTCGAGGGTCAACGGTGGGCATTAGGAGGAGGACCCACACATATATTTGGATTCTGAGTTGGATCTGGGAATTATTCAAGCAATTATTCAGTATCTAATTACGAATATGCCTTGTGTTATTTAATGAAATTTGTTTTTATTCAATATTTTTAATCATAAATTGTTATTTCCATAATCACCCGTACGAAAATAATCAGTTCGAGATCAATATTTAGATAAAAATTATCTACAAACTGGTAATGGCTTCGTTTGGAAAGCAAAAGTTGGGATTTTTTTTAGTTATTTTAGTTATAAAAATTAAAATAAGTTTTTATTTCAATAAAATAAAATATCACATTCAACTCATAATCATTAAATTCTTTCTCTTATAAAAAAATCAAAAAAATCTAAAGTCCTTTCCAAATTAGACTTTTTAGTCCTAGACTAAAATAATAAAAAAGTCAAAAAGTCAACTCACTTTCCAAACGAACTGAATGTTAATTTTATTATTTTGAATATTGATACAAACCATTTTTCTTACCAAATTGTACCATTTTAAAATGATTTGATTCAATGTGGATTAATCGGTTTTCAAACTTGAGTTACTTTTTAGTATAATTATTAATCTATATAAAAATAATAAATTAGTTATTTTTTTACTATTTTAAACATATTTAATCCATCTATTTAATAAAAAAAATTTAATGATTAACGAAAATATAAACAACAAAAAATTTAAAAACTAAGACTTCAAGAATAATGAGTCAGAGTTGAGATTATATATAATAAAAATTTACAAACTTAGATTATAGAGATGATAAAATTAATTAATTAAGGTTAATAATTTATTATACTTATTAATATCATTATATGATTAGATGTTGAACCTGAGGATTTCAGTTTAGTTCAGTGCACAATGTGCTTGAACTGATACTGAACCAAAAATAAAAAAAAAAATCAAATTAAAAAAATTGTACAGACCAATTTTTGTTAAAAAAAACAGATTAACTATAATCGGTTATGTCTAATTCAATTAGTTTGGTCGGTTTTTTTCAATTTTTCATACATTCCTACTTATGAATTTAAAACAATTTTGTATTAGGTTTTGTTAGTTTTAACATAAAATATTTTTGTCAAAAATATTTTACTCATTTTTCATTGTTTGATTAAACAAAAAGTAAGCAAAACACTTTTTTTTTTAAATGTTTTTGCATTATTTTTCTAAAAATGACTTATTTTTAAAAAATTTGTAATTTAATTTTCATAAAGTTGACTCTCGCTCACTATATTTTCGACACATTTAACATTTTTAAATAAATATTTTAACTCACTAAAAAATCATGAATGACACTTTTATTTAATCAAAATTTCTTTTTTTTATAATAAAATATTTTTGTTTCAAGTGTTAATTAAATGCCAAAAAATAAAGGTAAACACATTTTTTTTTTTTGTGTAAAATTAATTTACCAAAAAAATATTTTTTTTGTTTAAAATATTTTATTTCAAAACAAAGGGAGCCTTGGAAAGCTGGAAAATGTCATTACATACGCTCTATCCTGCGAAAGTGACAAATTTTTGTTGTATTAGTTAATAGTTACAAAAGTTGCACTGTAAGAAAAATTTTAAGTATTTAAAAAAAAAATTAAAAATTATGAAGTAAAACAGAAAAAAAAAAAAAAAAAAAGTAACTGACAAATATTTAACTCATATTTCATTCATTTTTCTTTTTATTTTTCACAAATTCTTATATAATTCTAACATCGAAACACAACTTAAGTTACCACTATTTATAGTTTATGGTTATGAATATTATTATGAGTAATGTTCAAGATACAAAATTTTTTATCAAACACTCACGTAAGTATATAACTTATACCTATGTAAGTGTTTAATAAAAAATTTAAAACCTCCAACATTTTTACATTATTATTATTTTTGTTACTGTTTTAGAGATAGTAAGAAGTACTATTGTTTATGATGAAAAAATTATGTCATTTTATAATTTATATTACAAATTTTCATAGCCTATTATAAAAAACATCATACATATTTTTAAAGGTGTGGATGGTCACGTTTATAATTATAAAAGGAATATCACAAAAGTTAACGAATTAAATTTTTGAGTTAACGGTGAACCTAATGGTTGGGTACTCTTTTGGATTGTTGTAGTTCTAATCCAATTGGATCAAGTTAAGTTTCCTTATTTTGTAACTAACATATCACCCGTACTATGTACGGATTGTATTTACAATTATTTATATATGTGAATTGCGATTTTTAAATATCTTCCTCTTTTTTTATAAATCTCTTCTTTTTTTCTTTTTTTATATTAAATTAAAGTTTAATATTTTGATAATAATCATATGTGTTAGACTTTTCAAGGCATTAAATGTCTTTTTTTTATTATATTATATTAAAATTTAATTTTTGATAATAATCATATCTGTTAGACTTTCCAAGAAATTTTTTTTATGTTTGTTCTTAATGCATTAAAATGTTATTATGAGGAATAATAATCATATGTGTTGGGACTTTTCAAGGAATTTATGTGTTGGATTTCAAAGAATTTTTTTTATGCTTGTTCTTAATGCATTAAACTGTTATTATGAGGGTAAGACTTGGGGATTGGGAGAAGTTAATAAATGCTAAGGTTTTTTTTTTTTAAATCAAATATCTTCCTTTTTTTTTTTTAAATGTCTTCTTTTTTTTCTTTTTTTATATAAAAGATTGGGCAAATTACATATACCCCTCGAGGTTTAGCAAAATTACAGATACCCCCTGAGATTTGAGAAATTACAGATACCCCCTGAAGGTACTATTTGCCTAACAAATTAGGGAGCAAATTGTTATGAAAATATAAACCTCATGGGACAATTTGTTATGAAAATATAAACGTCAGGGGGGTATCTGTAATTTAGCTAAACCTCGAGGGAGGTATATGTAATTTGCCCTATATTAAAGTTTAACATTTTGATAATAATCATATGTGTTAGACTTTTTAAGGAATTAAATGTCTTTTTTTTATTATATTATATTAAAGTTTGATATTTTGATAATAATCATATGTGTTGTACTTTTCAAGAAATTTTTTTAATACTTGTTCTTAATGCATTAAAATGTTATTATGAGGGATAATAATCATATGTGTTGGGATTTTTCAAGGAATTCATGTGTTGGATTTTAAAGAATTTTTTTTTTTATGCTTGCTCTTAATGCATTAAAGTGTTATTATGAGGGTAAGACTTGAGGATTGGAAGAAATTAATAAATGCTAAGATTTTTTTTTTTTTTTTTAAATCAAGAAACCAAGAAATTTAGATTGAGAGATTAGAGCTCCCACAAGACTTGGGGTTAAAAACCCAATTTTGCTTAATATATAGTATAGATTATTGATTTTATTGATTTAAGAAAATCACAAACTGAGTTACTACTTAAGAACTATGGAATAATTTTAGTAATTAAGATTTCTACTAAGGAGTGTTTTTGGAAGATAGTTAAAAATTGATTATTTTACTTTTTAAATTTTTTTTACTATTTTATGTGAAAGGTGATATAATCCAAAATGAGTTAAAAAGTGGTTTTTAACTTTTAACCCAAAATGGGCCTAAAACACATTAACTTACTTCAATTTGTACTTTTTTGCATGGACATATATATATGTAATAGAGATGAGTCTTTATCCATTCATAGGCTGCATTGCTATTGTAACACATCGACGCATAAATGGTATCGATATGATTGAAGACAAAGTTATGAATTTTTATTTTTATTTATTTATTTTAAACTAATGGGCAAAGGGTTTTAAAGAGAAACAAAATTAAAGCAGAAGCAATGAGATTACGAAGTTTTGGTTTGGTATATTTGGACTATCAATAAAAGACATATATGTTCTTATCCTAACAAAATATAATTAAGGTCAAGTTTGGCTAACTTAAAAAAGTATACTTATTTCATCTTTTTATCTTTTTTGGGTCACATCAATCAACATCTCCTCTCTACTTTTTTTACACATAATATAAAAAATGTCAAAAAATGTACTTATTTAGTATTCCCAAACTTGACCTAAATAAAAAGACTTGCATTCTTTAATACTGTTGGTAAACAAGCAGTAAGATCACTAAAAGGACAACCCTTGAAAAAAATATTTGATTTATTAGAAAGTGACTTTCCATCAACTCTCTTTTTATGTTGAGTTTTATATACTTCAATTACTATTAGGCACCAAGACTTCCTGTCACTCCTTTCAAAGTCTAACATCAGATAAGGAAGGCTCTTCTTCCTTGACATAATAGTTTGCTCAAATGCTCAATATATATATATATATATATTATTCAAGTAATCCCACCGGCCACTTGAAGATCAAAGAACATATCTTCCTATCTCAATATTATCAACCATCAAATTATGCAAGAATTTTAAAACACAAATTTCGAAACATGATC